TTGTGTGTGTGTGTGTGTGTGTGTGTGTGTGTGTGTGTGTGTGTGTGTGTGTGTGTGTGTGTGTGTGTGTGTGTGTGTGTCTGTCTGTGTGTGTGTATCTGTCTGTGTGTGTGTATCTGTCTGTGTGTGTATCTGTCTGTGTGTGTGTATCTGTCTGTCTGTCTGTGTGTGTGTGTATCTGTCTGTGTGTGTGTATCTGTCTGTCTGTCTCTATCTGCAAAGACAATCCCGTACAGTGGATAAACCTCAATACTTTAAAACAGATCTGCACTGAGCTACATTTTACTGCTCTTACATATAAATAGATATATGTTAGTCTGTCTTTGTCTCTTTTTCATTTGTGTGTGTGTGTGTGTGTGTGTGTGTGTGTGTGTGTGTGTGTGTGTGTGTGTTGTGTGTGTGTGTGTATCTGTCTGTGTGTGTGTGTCTGTCTGTGTGTGTGTATCTGTCTGTGTGTGTGTATCTGTCTGTGTGTGTGTATCTGTCTGTGTGTGTGTATCTGTCTGTGTGTGTATCTGTGTGTGTGTATCTGTCTGTGTGTGTGATCTGTCTGTGTGTGTATCTGTGTGTGTGTATCTGTCTGTGTGTGTGTGTGTGTCTGTGTGTATGTGTGTGTCTGTCTGTGTGTGTGTGTCTGTGTGTGTGTGTGTGTGTCTGTGTGTGTATCTGTCTGTGTGTGTATCTGTCTGTGTGTGTGTATCTGTCTGTGTGTGTGTCTGTGTGTGTGTATCTGTCTGTGTGTCTGTCTGTGTGTGTATCTGTCTGTGTGTGTGTGTCTGTGTGTGTGTATCTGTCTGTGGTGTGTATCTGTCTGTGTGTGTATCTGTCTGTGGTGTGTGTATCTGTCTGTGTGTGTGTGTCTGGTGTGTGTGTCTGTCTGTGTGTGTGTGTATCTGTCTGTGTGTGTGTATCTGTCTGTGTGTGTGTATCTGTCTGTGTGTGTGTCTGTGTGTGTATCTGTGTGTGTGTGTGTATCTGTCTGTGTGTGTATCTGTCTGTGTGTGTGTATCTGTCTGTGTGTGTGTATCTGTCTGTGTGTGTATCTGTCTGTGTGTGTATCTGTCTGTGTGGTGTATCTGTCTGTGTGTGTGTATCTGTCTGTGTGTGTGTATCTGTCTGTGTGTGTGTATCTGTCTGTGTGTGTGTATCTGTCTGTGTGTGTGTCTGTGTGTGTATCTGTCTGTGTGTGTGTGTCTGTGTGTGTGTATCTGTCTCTGTGTGTGTATCTGTCTGTGTGTGTGTGTATCTGTCTGTGTGTGTGTATCTGTCTGTCTGTCTGTGTGTGTGTATCTGTATGTGTGTGTGTATCTGTGTGTGTATGTATCTGTCTGTATGTGTGTATCTGTCTCTGTCTGTCTGTGTGTGTGTGTATCTGTCTGTCTGTCTCTATCTGTAAAGACAATCCCGTACAGTGGATAAACCTCAATACTTTAAAACAGATCTGCACTGAGCTACATTTTACTGCTCTTACATATAAATAGATATATGTTAATGTCTCTCTTTGTCTCTTTTTCATTGTGTGTGTGTGTGTGTGTGTGTGTGTGTGTGTGTGTGTGTGTGTGTGTGTGTGTGTGTGTGTGTGTGTGTGTGTGTGTGTGTGTGTGTGTGTGTGTGTCTGTGTGTGTGTGTGTGTGTGTGTGTGTGTGTGTGTGTGTGTGTGTGTGTGTGTGTGTGTGTGTGTGTGTGTGTGTGTGTGTATCTGTCTGTGTGTGTGTATCTGTCTGTCTGTCTCTATCTGTAAAGACAATCCCGTACAGTGGATAAACCTCAATACTTTAAAACAGATCTGCACTGAGCTACATTTTACTGCTCTTACATATAAATAGATATATGTTAATGTCTGTCTTTGTCTCTTTTTCATTGTGTGTGTGTGTGTGTGTGTGTGTGTGTGTGTGTGTGTGTGTGTGTGTGTGTGTGTGTGTGTGTGTGTGTGTGTGTGTGTGTGTCTGTGTGTGTGTGTGTGTGTGTGTGTGTGTGTGTGTGTGTGTGTGTGTGTGTGTGTGTGTGTGTGTGTATCTGTCTGTGTGTGTGTGTATCTGTCTGTGTGTGTGTATCTGTCTGTCTGTCTCTATCTGTAAAGACAATCCCGTACAGTGGATAAACCTCAATACTTTAAAACAGATCTGCACTGAGCTACATTTTACTGCTCTTACATATAAATAGATATATGTTAATGTCTGTCTTTGTCTCTTTTTCATTGTGTGTGTGTGTGTGTGTGTGTGTGTGTGTGTGTGTGTGTGTGTGTGTGTGTGTGTGTGTGTGTGTGTGTGTGTATCTGTGTGTGTGTGTATGTGTGTGTGTGTGTGTGTGTGTGTGTGTGTGTGTGTGTGTGTGTGTGTGTGTGTGTGTGTGTGTGTGTGTGTGTGTGTGTGTGTGTGTGTATCTGTGTGTGTATCTGTCTCTGTGTGTGTATCTGTCTGTCTGTCTCTATCTGTAAAGGCAATCCCGTACAGTGGATAAACCTCAATACTTTAAAAACAGATCTGCACTGAGCTACATTTTACTGCTCTTACATATAAATAGATATATGTTAATGTCTGTCTTTGTCTCTTTTTCATTGTGTGTGTGTGTGTGTGTGTGTGTGTGTGGTGTGTGGTGTGTGTGTGTGTGTGTGTGTGTGTGTGTGTGTGGTGTGTGTGTGTGTGTGTGTGTATCTGTCTGTGTGTGTGTATCTGTCTGTGTGTGTGTATCTGTCTGTGTGTGTCTGTCTGTGTGTATCTGTGTGTATCTGTCTGTATGTGTGTATCTGTCTCTGTGTGTGTATTGTCTCTGTCTGTCTGTGTGTGTGTATCTGTCTGTCTGTCTCTATCTGTAAAGACAATCCCGTACAGTGGATAAACCTCAATACTTTAAAACAGATCTGCACTGAGCTACATTTATGCTCTTACATATAAATAGATATATGTTAATGTCTCTCTTTGTCTCTTTTTCATTGTGTGTGTGTGTGTGTGTGTGTGTGTGTGTGTGTGTGTGTGTGTGTGTGTGTGTGTGTGTGTGTGTGTGTGTGTGTGTGTGTGTGTGTGTGTGTGTGTGTGTGTGTGTGTGTGTGTGTGTGTGTGTGTGGTGTGTGTGTGTGTGTGTGTGTGTGTGTGTGTGTGTGTGTGTGTGTGTGTATCTGTCTGTGTGTGTGTATCTGTCTGTGTGTGTACTGTCTGTGTGTGTATCTGTCTGTGTGTGTGTATCTGTCTGTGTGTGTGTGTATCTGTCTGTGTGTGTGTGTATCTGTCTGTGTGTGTGTATCTGTCTGTGTGTGTGTATCTGTGTGTGTATCTGTGTGTGTGTGTATCTGTCTGTGTGTGTATCTGTCTGTGTGTGTGTATCTGTCTGTGTGTGTGTATCTGTCTGTGTGTGTTTATCTGTCTGTGTGTGTATCTGTCTGTGTGTGTGTGTATCTGTCTGTCTGTCTCTATCTGTAAAGACAATCCCGTACAGTGGATAAACCTCAATACTTTAAAACAGATCTGCACTGAGCTACATTTTACTGCTCTTACATATAAATAGATATATGTTAATGTCTGTCTTTGTCTCTTTTTCATTGTGTGTGTGTGTGTGTGTGTGTGTGTGGTGTGTATCTGTGTGTGTGTGTGTGTGTGTGTGTGGTGTGTGTGTGTGTGTGTGTGTGTGTGTGTGTGTGTGTGTGTGTGTGTGTGTGTGTGTGTGTGTGTGTCTGTGTGTGTGTGTGTGTGTATCTGTCTGATCTGTCTGTGTGTGTGTATCTGTCTGTCTGTCTCTATCTGTAAAGGCAATCCCGTACAGTGGATAAACCTCAAGACTTTAAAACAGATCTGCACTGAGCTACATTTTACTGCTCTTACATATAAATAGATATATGTTAATGTCTGTCTTTGTCTCTTTTTCATTGTGTGTGTGTGTGTGTGTGTGTGTGTGTGTGTGTGTGTGTGTGTGTGTGTGTGTGTGTGTGTGTGTGTGTGTGTGTGTGTGTATCTGTCTGTGTGTGTGTATCTGTCTGTGTGTGTGTGTATCTGTCTGTGTGTGTGTCTGTCTGTGTGTGTGTATCTGTCTGTATGTGTGTATCTGTCTCTTGTGTGTGTATCTGTCTCTGTGTGTGTATCTGTCTGTGTGTGTGTATCTGTCTGTCTGTCTCTATCTGTAAAGACAATCCCGTACAGTGGATAAACCTCAATACTTTAAAACAGATCTGCACTGAGCTACATTTTACTGCTCTTACATATAAATAGATATATGTTAATGTCTCTCTTTGTCTCTTTTTCATTGTGTGTGTGTGTGTGCGTGTGTGTGTATGTGTGTGTGTGTAATCTGTCTGTCTGTGTGTGTATCTGTCTGTGTGTGTGTATCTGTCTGTGTGTGTGTATCTGTGTGTGTGTGTGTATCTGTCTGTGTGTCTGTATCTGTGTGTGTGTATCTGTCTGTGTGTGTATCTGTTCTGTGTGTGTATCTGTCTGTGTGTGTATCTGTGTGTGTGTATCTGTCTGTGTGTGTGTATCTGTCTGTGTGTGTGTATCTGTCTGTGTGTATCTGTCTGTGGTCTGTCTGTGTGTGTGTATCTGTCTGTGTGTGTGTGTATCTGTCTGTGTGTCTGTGTGTGTGTATCTGTCTGTGTGTGTATCTGTCTGTGTGTGTGTGTATCTGTCTGTCTATCTGTCTGTCTGTATCTGTCTGTCTGTCTCTATCTGTCTCTGTCTGTCTGTCTATCTGTCTGTCTGTCTCTATCTGTCTGTCTGTCTCTATCTGTCTCTGTCTGTCTGGTCTGTCTGTCTCTGGTCACATAACAGTCTGTCTATCTGGCTCTGTCTGTTTGTCTATCTGGCTCTGTCTGTTTGTCTATCTGGCTCTGTCTGTTTGTCTGTCTGTCTATCTGGTTCTGTCTGTTTGTCTGTCTGTCTGTCTGTCTCTATGTATGTCTCTGGTCATATAGCAGCCTGTCTGTCTGTCTGTCGCTGATCACATAGCAGTCTGTGTCTGTGTCTTTGTCTCTCCCTCCATGAATACTTATGAATGAAGGTCAGTAATACATCAGCTGTGTAAAATGTCTTTATTTTTTATCTTCAGAAGATAGCTGATTATCACACAGACATATATAAATATTAGCTACCACTAAACTTAAAGTTTGAAATTCAAGACACTTGGCATTAAATATCAAATAAATATTTCAAACTAATTGCACCAATTGAGAACATTTTCATATCTTCCAAAGTACCCACGAGTTTTTAATGTTAATCTAAATAAGCATAGATCCATTAGGCTACTGTCGCTTCCACGAGTACAAAAACACATTACTAAACTAAGAGAATATACCTGAAATTGCAGTGTCATGGGAACCATGAACCTCTTTACAAGATTATCAAAGCACAAAAGAAATGATTAAATAAAAATTATGAAAAACACATTACTATGAAAAAAAAAATGCAGTTTTCAATTACATCAAATAAGTTCTTGCATTTTGATACAGCAGCTACTTAACCTTGACAGCAATTGTTATTCTGAGCTAGTCATATACTTTGCTGTTAGATTCTATATGACCTTTTACTAAGTGTACAAACTTCATCATCACATTAAAACATATTCTGGTGAGCAAAGAACATCCAAAAACAATATTTTCCAATTGTTTTTCTTCTCTTATTCAAGAGAATATATAATTATAAGTCCCCACAAAAAAAATCACAAATGAAATTTAATGACATTTACATTCATTCTAAAACATTCACTACTATTCATTTTCTTACAACCGCTAAACACTTCATAATAGCATTACAGTTTAAGTACCACATAATGGGAGACCCAAAAACAAAACAAAAAAGAAAAAAAAAAATTGAAAAGAAAATTATAATAAAACAAAATAAAATAAATCACCCTTGATATAAACAAAACACCACTTTGTGCACGAGATTCTAAATTACGATTATCGTTAAGTTATTGATGCAGCTAATGACATATTACTATAGCAATTAATAAAATCAAAATTATATTATCAAATAAAAAAAGAATCACAGCAGTCAGTGAGATCATCAAAGTCTATTTTCTAAAGCAAGAGAGAAAAAGTAGAGCAGTGACAATGACTTTTATAGTTAAGATACTCTATAAATTATGACACTAACATGAAAAAAATATATAGATCTGCTATTTTTTCCCTCCTTCTTGAAATCTCATTAATCTGCAGAGAATAAGTACCATTATCCAAGCCCTAGAAATTAATTACTTAAATTCACCTTCTGGAGACACCTCCAATGTCCTTATATAGTAGTCACATAATAAAGGAAAAACCTGTACTATTTACTGACTGTTAGATCATTCATAATGTCAGATCTTGTAATATAACCACAATCAATACCGTAACGTCAGATAAACACAGTTATAACATTAACTAAACTACACTCAATACTGTTAATAATCCCTGTTAAAATCATCTGGAATGTGATCAGTAAACACAAAATAACTACTCTACATCTGAACTTGCAAGATTAAATATTTATTGGCAGAAATGAACATAGGATTTTTACCATCATGCCCTTTGTATCCACGATTGTTTTTCTAATCAATTAAATATCATGCAATCCATGATACACGCAACTGATGCTGTCAACTATTCCTTTACTCTTGCTGTGGTTGTTTTGGTGTTCCGGCGTTGCTGTATCAATACTGCCTTATTGTTGGTGTTTTCATGCTCTATTTCTGATTTTGTTCTACTAATGTGTATTGTTCACTTAAATATGATCTTAGTGTTATTTATTTTGTTATTTTGTTCTTATTGCATTAAAAGTTATAGTCAAGCCACATGAATCTGAATGTTAATTTATCATGCCTTGGCCATCTGAGAAGTCAACACACTGTCCAAAATTGTGAGACATATAGCAAACAGTTGCATAATCTTTAAATACAGCATTAAAAATAAAACACTGCAAATACATAATGTACAAAGAAAACACTGATACTTCGTAATTACCTTAGAATGATTCAGCTGGAGGTAGGACTATTGTGGGTAAAGGTCATTTACTAATAATAAGCTGCAGCATTTATTGTATAAAACTCAAAGTCAGCCATGGCTTTATCAGGGATTTGCCACTGATTCCATTAAATTTGGGCATTCTAATAATGCATACAACTGTTTACTATGCATTTTACTGTTGACTGCTACCAGGTTACCAGGGTACAATAATTGATCCTTCCAGCTAGACTGCCACAAATAAAGCAAGGATAGTATTAGTTCTCGTTGTAATGCAAACAGCAAGTTGATCAGCATCACACACAAACAATACCTTAATATATCTGGACAAATTACAGAAATGAAAAGTATCTTAAAATTATAATAAATAACAGATAAATCAGACAATGCAAATCTTTCCAGTGACAAAGTATCTGAAAATAAAGTAGTGGACAACGATACCTACAGCTACAGTTAAATAGGTAAAGAATTACATGTCCTGGCACTAAAAATGTACAAGTAAGTTAAACCTTATCCACATGATCAGACTTGCCCAGAAAGCAGCACCTTCGCTGGGCAAATTGTCGAACATGCCTAATTGCTGTCCATATAGCCAAGTCCATGAGTAGCCAGACACATAGCCAGTATGACCAGTAGATGCTTGAGTGCAGTACATCCATTGCTGGCAATTGTGCTCAACTCAGGCATGGGCATTCCACTGGTTTGCTAATCAAAGTTGCCCACTGAAGAGCTTTACCTCTCATGCCCATAAGAAATATTTAATCATGTGGATGCAGCATAATATCTTCACCAAGAACAATTCACAGATCATTGCACTGCAGGGATTGAGCATGTGGAAAGGAATATTGATTGTAACTCTTGATATGTACTGTATATATTTGATAACCAGGTATGATAGACAAAAGATAAACCTAATCATTCAAAATCATGATGCAACTTATTTATATTACAAAAATTTCAAACTCATTTTATCTTCTATTTCAAAATTCTACTAAATAAATAAATTTACAATAGCATCAATTTCCCAGAAAACTCATCTTGTCAACAATCTGTCAATAAGTTTTGGAGAAGTGAAATAACAAAACTGCATACCTTATGTACTGATATCTACATTACATACTTTTTTATTGTCATTTGCAATTCTATTGACGATTTAGAACTGTGTAAAGTACAGCACAATGCAAAACCTTTTAATAAAAATTTACATCTATTCATCATAGCATTTGCTCTTTAATTATGCTACAGATCAGTTTGAACTGAGACAAAGAACACACATAATGGATGTAATATATCCAATAAAGATATTGAAAGAAAATAATTGTAAAACCATTGCATACAACATAGTAAAGGATATCTATAGGTAATATATCTAGGACTTTTGGGTTCCACTCTAATTTACCATATGATTCTCCTCCTATAATCAATTACATTTCATTCTTCAAAAAAAAAATTGTAACAAGCAGTAAGATGAAGTAGAGGAAAAGTTTTCTATATCTAAAATCTACTGGACTCTATTACTCTGTTATACTGTAATATGCTAAAAACTATAGTTTTTATAATCCTTCTATAAGGACTAGCATTCTATAAAGCCTATATGTTATTCCATCAGAGTTATGAACTGCCAATATCATATAATCAGCCCTTAATAAAATCAAACCAGTGTAATGTTCAGTTGATTCTTTTCTGTCTATAAAATTGTTATATATGACTGATTTTCACTAAACCTTCAATATATTAGATAGAAAGGATAATACAACAAAATCAATCTTCATGTATCAATCAGTAAGAAAAGAGTTTAATTTCAGTTGCTCTTTTTCATTTTGTTTCACCTGTTATCTCAAGATGTAACAGTCAAACCAAATATAATTTACAAAAATCACTGATGTGAACAGCCAAGTGTGTTAACCTAGAAGCACTGATTTTAGAATAAAACAAACAAATTCCCTGTCTACTTCTTACTCTAATGGATGGAAAATATATTCTGGAAAAACATTCATTTTTCATTTATTTTCTGGAAGACCGTTTCCTTCTCCATTCCATCTCTAGGTCATCAAAGAACTATTCTGCTTTCATAGATTCTTTGGACAGACCAAGCTGGATTGAAAGGCATAATTATCTGAAGGCTAGACAGGAAAATTAATAAATTCTGTGCACTTTTATTTTTCACATATCTGGAGAAAAGTAATGCATGCAAGCTAGTCATAATATAGTTCAAGGTTGCATTGCTTTTTAAGTGTTCAGTAAACTAGAGATGAATAAGTAGAATAGCCTGCTCATGTGCTCAAATCTATATCTTTAACTCTTTCTATACTATGTATTATTGACCTTGTGTGTTGTCTTTGGAAGGAAAGAATTAAATCTAAAATTTGTGCAATGCATAATTAATGAAGTAGTTGAATTTAAAAATCTAATGACCATTTCTTCTAAGAATTTAATATTATAGCATTTCTAATTCTACAGTTGCTGCAAACCTAATCTGCATTTTACTGTTGCTTTTTACTGCTACTACTCTACTTATCATTAGTAAAATTCCTATTTCAATACTGAGTGAAGAGAGGCACAGCAAGCATAACTACAGAAAGAGGGACACTAGAAACATCTTGATAAATGTTTATACTGAGAGTGATATGACAATATTTAAAGCAATTATTCCATTTGAATGAATGGTTGGAACCATTCATTTGAAACAATTTTCCATTTAGCATGTAATCAAGTGAAGCTATGTTTTATACCATTATCAGGAACATCTTCATAAATATTTGAAGTCAATATTCTATAAAAGAAAACCATGTTTAATACCTTTAACTTTCAATCTAAAAAAAAAAGACTTCATTTCACAGTATGGACCCAATTAGTCAATTACCCAGGGGAACCAAGGCTTCCAAATGGTAACTTACTGTTCCACCATCATAATGAAAGTGAGGTACTCGTTACTTAGAGGATCAAACCAGTAAATATAGGGTTCAATATTCAAAGGTTTTCTTTCATTGAAAGAAATATATTTTCAATATAGAATCTACCTATATTAATCACACACCTTGCTTAATTCATTAAACATTGTGCACTCCATGAATAAAAAAAAGAGATAAAAGCTGACAGTGGCTACTGATTTCTTTTCTTACATATAAGTAGTACAAAACTATCTTAACACAAAAAAGACCCTGAAAAAAAGGAAAAAAAAATCTAGTATAATAATAAATAAGCTTGTGAGAAATGTCCTCCTGCCTTTAAAGGCTCTCCCAATTCCGGAGTTCATCCAGCACTCTCTCCAAGTGGGGGTTGCCCCCTAGCCTGACAATCTCCTCTCGTGCTTCAGCCTCCAGTTTTTTCATGGTTTCTTTGGTGTGCTCGAGGGAACCAAACTTCTCTAGAAGGGACACGCAATATCGTTTCACCTCCAGGTCTTTGGGTCTCTGGCGGATGATGTCTGAGGTTTATGGTCAAGGTTGGACAGCATGCAAATGAGAATGATTCTACATCTAGAGTTCTTATAATCAAGTTTCATTATCTTACATCCTACCTTTTTTTTGCCTGCAAAAACATACATTCCAGTATTTACCAATCAATAATGAACATTCATAAACATCAAGCTCACACAAATAATGGAATGTACAAATGCAATCTAAAACACAAGCAAACCCACCCTTCACCCTACATACACAAATATATTTTCATGTATAAAACATAAATGCTAGGAAATATACAAATTCATATACACACTCACACATGCAACTACATAAGCAGTCAAAATCATTTGTACACTTGCCCATACTTTGTCATCAACACAGTTCAATAACATTTTGAAGATCAAACATCAAATACAAACATTCAAAACTTCAGCTGAACCTCATGTAATATTTTCTAAAAGTCACATCTGCCAGCCTAAGAAACTTGCTTCCCTCCAGAGAAAAGTAAAGTATAAAAAAGCAATTACATTCATATCACCCATACAAGTATTTGTGAGCTTTGATGTACCGTGACAAAATTTATATACAGTAAAATAACATCAAACGAAAAATTATTATGGCTGCAGACCAAGAGAGTTTAGAACAGTTTAGTGCTTCCACAAAAGGACCTAACCTAGAAATTGGCATGTTTTATATTCCATTTCATTAACAACTATGCTAACATTACCCTACAATCCGGATGATATTACCATAATGTCATATGGAAACTCAGCTGAGGGCCAGGGTGACATGAATTAGCTATCACCAGAATTTCAGCACAAGGCTAGAGTGATGGGAATGACTTAACATGAATGAACAAAGCTCATGGGGACTGATTAGACTCACTGTGCAAATAGGAAGAGGCCAAGACTAGAAGAGCACCAGCTCCAGGGAGGACGCTGTTTCTAATGTCAGAATCCTATTTTTGCCTGCTTTTACCGGCAGAACAGGTTGTATCACAGAGAATTGAATATTATGAAAAAATTTAACAAATGACACAAATAACAAAATGTTACTACACTGAGTTATGGACAACTTAGAGATACGCTATGGAGTCTGTGCAAGGAAAAGAGTATCACCATCATCATCTGAATGAAGATGGTAATAAAATTAAGATACATATTCAGTGTTGAATATGTATCTAATAAATTCAGCACTGAAGTTAGGTATAATCTCCACTGTGTGACCAGGCCTTACCAAAGTCAAGGAAATTCTATAAAAAAATTCATCCACCACTTGCTATTTCCACAAAGCAGACATAATAATCATGGTAATATTTCTGCAGCATGTGTCTCATGAAATATCTCATCATAAGATAAAGAGGGGGTGGGGGTTAATGTGATGAATTTTGGGTAAATACCATTAAATGAGCTTCAGCTGTCTTCTGAGTATTACTTGTGCCATAGAATAATACAAAAAACATAATGGTATTTAAAGTAAGTCAAGTAAAAATATTTCTAAACTTCAAACCTCTTCGCATAAAAAGGATACTAATAACTTGCTGGTCATCAGGGTGGGTTTTAATGGCATGGATGACTGGAAAACTGAATTTGCCTTCTGTCAAATCCTCACAGTAACTCTTACTGTCACTGTACTGCAAAAAGACAAACAACGGTTATCACAGATACTCATATCTCAAAATCAATGGTCTGTAAAAGCAATTACTTTGTGTTTTCGTTTATAAGTAGCATTTGTGTGTATGTCATCTATAAAATAATAGAGGCTTTTTACTTAGAGCAATTAAACTTGAAGTTGTGTTTTATCTCCAGAGATTGTGAAATTTGCAACATGTATTATACAGTTCTCCTATTAGTATTCAGCCTATATGGGCCCCTGCTTCATTTATTCTCCTGCTTTATTTTGTAATCTTTAGTTCCATATAATCATTTATATCTATAATTAATAAATATAACGGCATCAAATCATTCAATGACTAAACCAATAAATGTAACAACAATAAAGATTTGTCTAAAAACAGGCATGATGTAGGGTAAAAAGTAATAGTGTAACTCTTGAAATATTACTAAGCCTCTATAAACAAGTCAATAATATACTGTTTATGTATATGTATACATATACATATATTTATATATATAAATACATATATTTATATATATATAAATATATAATATATATATATATATATATATATATATATATATATATATATATATATATATATATATATATATATATATATATATATGTGTGTGTGTGTGTGTGTGTGTGTCTGTGCGTGTGTATATATATATACATATCTTAGTATTTCTTTCTCATTTAATATCTGAAACAGACATCAGTCATTACACATATCAATGTACTACTGGCATATATATTTGATCAACTTAAAAATCTAGACACAATTTAAAATGTTTGAAAATATTTTTACTTCTTAAGTGTGTCATGTAATGTCAGTTTCAAAGGAATTACAGCAGGCATTTCTACTTGAAATAATATATAAATTTAAATCATTCATGCTGAGTATTCTATGTCTGTTAAACAACTGTTGGTTTGTTTGACTCTTGCTGTCTTTGATGAGGTAGAGCCCTTCTAATTCTCAAACAAGATTAAAGTCTACTTTTAGCTTGTTTTCTGGATGATCATATATAGCTTTTAATTTTGCACCTAAGGGCAAAATTAGAAGCACATCCCTCAATATGGCATGGGTAATGGCCATTGGTTAATTAATGGTCATTAATGGTTAATGGTCAAAACAAATGCTAGACATCAAAGGTCATATAGCACTATGTGGCAAAAGGATAAAAATTAGCTAATGATTAGGACAAAATGTTTAGATGTCAAGGGTTGTAGAGCACTATAGGATAGAATGGTAATGTATAGGGTGAAGAGTTGGAGCAAATGGGGTAAGGCAGTAAAAGAGGAAAGGGGGTTAAAGGCAAAGGATGATTAGATCAAATGGAGAGTTTTTATGCATCTAAGAAAGGAAGAGAAATATTACATGTGGAGCAATACAAAGAGCCATTATGAAACAAACAATGGATAATAAGGGTAGAAATGGGTGTCAGAATGTAGGAGGAGAAGAGCCTGGAGAATGAGACAAGAGAACATGAGAAGGTTTGTAGAGGTGGAACTAGTAGCAGGACAAGGACAGGAAGAAGAGGGAGTGGTGTGGAGTGAGATAGTACTATGAGGAGGAAGTCAATAAGGATGAACAATAGTAATAAGAGAAGAAAGGGTAGAAAATGAAGAAGACTGTACAAGAGCTGGAGATGTAGTGGAGGTTCTTGTGAGAAAGTAAAGGATGTATTCTGAAGGTTGAGTAATGGTCAGGGTGGATAATACAGAATGGATCAAGTTTACAGCAAGCACTGATGAAGGGGTAAAAGCAAAGCAGGTTGGAGCCAATGACAGTAAAGGCAGGGGTCTGGAAACCAGAGAAGTTAATTCCAGATAGGTTAGATCATGGAGAAGCAAGCCTCAATTACCCTAATAAGAATACAAGATCTTCTTTAGCCATGGTAAGCCTGAAATGTGTGGGGTAGAGGAATGGTCTACCCTTCAGGATCCTCATAAGGAGTAAGGGCTAGACAATCAACCCAGGGAATACCGCACTAATGGCTCCCCGAGGCCATTCAGGACCGACCTAAAGGCAGCCTTTCATCCTCTCAGTACAGCTCTTACACTTTAGGACAGAGGGGGTTGAAGAAGAGAAGGGAAGGGAAAGGGGGAGACGAAAGGCCTATAAAAAATAGGTTGAGCCAAGGGCTGAGGCCCAAGGTAAGGGCGATACCCAACATTAGGCCTTAGTCCCCGTCTCCCATGATAACAAGAATGGGATTGGGGGGGCACAGGGTTATGTTTTACATTCTTATTAAACACACATTCCCTGTTAGAGAAGGCAAATAAAACATTTTAGACAGAACTTTTAACCAATAATTCATATAACTTTACATTGTATGTAAGAATTAATAGTTTTAATATCCTTACCTCTTTCATGCAAAGATTTGCATAGTCATCACGAATCTGAAAGTACAGTCCCAAAATTCCTGTGATTCTTGAAAAGTCATCTTGGACTTGACTGAAAAGTTGCATTAATCGAATAGCTAAGCCAAATAATCCACCCGTTTCTGAAAAAAAAAAAAAAAAAATCTTATTCCTGTCATACTCAAGGTAGAAACCATATTATTTTATAATACATACACACATATATAAAGCAAATGAATTCCTAAAATAAGTAACAGGAATATATTACATATATATAATGCAAATGAAACCCTAAAATAAATAAGAACCAAGGATAAAATTTCTTTGACACACTCTCTCTGGGGTGATATCGTCATTGCTATACCCTCTTTTATACTTGAATGACATATCTGTCATGCATAGTTGAGCCTACTCAAGTTGTGTTTGCTAAACAGTTTTCTTGTTTGGCCCTTCAATAATAGGCCGTTTTTCAGCTACATTATCCAAAGTCAACTAAAGGCTTATAGAGAAGGATAACTTTATGTTTCCCGTGCTTTTACTTTTCCCTTCGAGTAGATGACTATCTGCACTCAAGCCCATGGTTTGACATGGTACCAGGAGCTCCCATCATGAGTGAGTTTTATAAACAGCACAGGCCACATATGTTTACAGTTATAGTATATTAGTTTGAGCAATATTTTTAATGAAAATAGGGCAAAACAAATTCTAAAATTACACTTTTTATTTAATCAAGGTAAACACTGAATGAGCATCAGAACCTAAAGGCTCTTCAAACCATATGCAATCAAGAGAAGCAGAAGGTAATGAACTTTTAAAATGTATTGCCTGTTAAGTCTGGTTCATGGACATACTTCGTATGGTCATTTGTCTGTATTCTTCCTCCGATGGACAAGTAAATGAATCCCTCCAATAGATCTCCATTCCCTGCCCTCGATGGAGCTCCAACAGCTGCTCACAAAACACTGTAGTCGCCTAGGATACATAAAAAAGAAAAGCTGTAAAATATGAACTCACAGCAATTTGGATAAAAATATGTAGTACATTTTAAAATCAAGATGGTTATAATACACTATGCTCATTATATCTGCAAAATAATGAACTATTAGAATCTGAGCAAAATAAGTCTTACAAGAAAGCATGCAATCACAAATTCCATGTCAAGTTAATTTTATTTTAATTTGTATATAGACCACCAAGAAAAACTACTTAATTGCTAATATTTTTTCTAGTAATCATTACAAATGAAGTGCATCAATTAGACTTCAAAGATACACCAATGATAAAAGGCTTTTAATTATAAGAAATCATTCTAAAATTTTCTCAAACTATTTTACTATATCCAAACATACCTTTGGATGATTCAGGGCCAGAACTTTCTCTAGGCCAAGAAAATAAACATAATTAGCCGAGTTGATGGTTGACGCAACTCCGTATATACTATGTGCCACAGGAATACCTCTTCGTAAAACACTATTGTCCTCTATGTCATCTATTCTGTAAAGCAAAATGTCCACAAACCAATTAACATCCGAAAATCATATTGCCGGTTTCTGTATGATTATCCATCTTTCCTGATTTAATCAGTAAATCATCTGATTTAATCAGTAAATCATTAACTCATTTTACATAAACATGAAAAGAGACTAAATCACAAATGAGTAACTAAAACATACTGATTTCCAATAACTAAATGAATACATAAACAAA